GGGGTCGCCGGTGGGTGGGTGGGGGTTGGGGATCGATGCGCGGGAGGCGCGGGACACACGATTGTTTTTTTTCCGGTGGAGTTCGGAATCGCGGCTCCTATATATAGGGCGTTGTGATTCAAATAACTATTCTAATACTGAGATTAGAATAACTATTTGGATCACATTGATCCTATATAGGGCCCGATGGACTTTTCCCGAACTCTCCGAACCCGTGCAGAAAAAAACCCGGCCACTCTTCCACCACTTGCCCTCGATCCCCAATCTTCCCCAATCTCTCTAGTACAGCGTCGTGCATCTCTCCCCGCTCTTCGATCTCCTAGTGTCGCCGTTTCCTTTTTCCCCTACCTTCCGGCACCGCCGTTCCCCGCTTTCCCCCTCCCTCACGGCCGGCCGGCCTCCTCCCCTACCCCGCTCCCCAACGGCCGGCGCGCCTCCCCTCCTCCTCGGGCAACGCGCCTCCTCTCTCGCTGTCGGATCCAGGCCTGCTCCCACGGCCAATGCTGCCAACTGCCCCGGTGCGCCGCCGTCGCCATCTTCCCTAGCGCATCGCTGCCGCCATTCCTCGCCGCCAAGATCCAACCTCGCCGGCCACCGACGCACCCGCAGATCAGCGGCCACCATCTCAAGCAGGATCACACGTGGATCGGCGGCAACTGTCTCGAGCAGGATCACACGCGGACCACCCCTAGAGCCATCCCCTGCCCGTCGACAGGTCGCCGTCCCTGGATCCACGCCGCTCCTCCACCTCCTCCTCCCGGCGGGGCTTTGCAGCCGAAGCGCCTAAGCAGTTCACCGTTATCACCTTGGGCCCTTCAACGACACACCACCTGACCACCGGGACGGTCGCCACTGCAGTTCCAAGATCCGCTTGGAAGACGGAGGTGAGCCACACATGGTTCAACTTTTTCACTCCTTTTTCCCTACCTGATACGTGCATTGATTGATTGATTAACCCGTTCTTGCCACAATATTACTTTACTTTTTTTGGCAAAACACTCTCACTGTTAATGCATAGGTTCTCTACGGGCTGAATAATGGACACTTCTCTTTCTTTTTTCTACAGTATGAGGCAGAAGAACAGCACCAATACTAGCTAGTTCTGTACTGCACAACAAGACAGACAGACATACAGTAACAGTTAAAACAGAGGTGATGGTTGGTCTTGTACTACATGCTAGTGAGATGCGAGCTAAAATGTCATCGGTAAATTTCACCCAGTGCTGAACACAACTTTGCAGAGAAACTAACCATACTTATTCTTGATCTTTTTTCTGAATTTTTTGCTCTGTGCATTCATGTGTTATCAAACCTGTATTCTGTCTCCAGGTAGCGCCGTCGGATTCTCCGGCATGGCCCCGGCGCTCCACGCCTCTGCCCCAACTCCCTGCTCGCAACGGCACGACTCATCACATACTACCAAATTTCATCGGAGGAGGCCCCCCTGCTGCACCTCTGCCTCCTGGGTCCCGCTGGCAGAACTCCCCTGTTACTCCTCACGGCTGCACTACTCTCTCTCTCACTCTCCCTCTCTCTCTTTCTGATTAAGGCAATTTCATTGGAACAAATTCATGTACATGCTTGATTGCAAGTATTTTTTTCCTAGATGTGAACAAGAACCCATGGCTTGCTGTTTCTTTTTTGTAAGATTGCGTAATCACGTGTTCGATTCTATGCAAAAAACAAAGAATATGTGTAAGTTCAAATACAACAATTGCATAAGTTCGAAATTCCTATCCAGTAAGGACAAAAAAGTATGCTCTCTAAAGCTGCTTGTGTTTATGACTCAAAAAAATTGTTTTCTCTGGAACAAAATACTAAGTGATATTTTGTTCCCTCTAAACATAAATTTTCTATTTCCAACTATAAAAGTAAACACTCTGATGTACAGTAATATCTTTATTTTAAAAAAGAGAGAAAAACATGATGAGAAAGGTTGTAGAGCCCTATGATGTTTAGTTTGTTTCCCTTTCTGAAGTTCAATTTGTTTTGCTTTTTAAAGTTCTGGTTGTTGATTTTCTAAAGAGAAAGGTTGCTTCACTTGCACTCCTCTATCTAGTCATGTGTGGTGATCTCCTCGACTCCTCGGTTTCTACGAAAAATATAAGTATGAAGTTTAATTCAAAAAGATGATTTGATGCTTATTTAAAAACCATATTTTTCTAATAATAAAATAAATAAGTTCAAATTAAAAACAGAGAAGTTCAAACTTTATAAAAACCTCAGATTTTTTCTTGTTACTAAAGAATAAAATGAAGAAGTTCAAATTAAAATAAAATGAAGAAGTTCAAAAATTAAATAACAAGAAGTTCAACTTTTAAAAATAGAGCACTTCAAAATTCATAAAAAAGGATTAAGAAATTCAGATTAAAATTCATAAAAAAATCAGATATTTTCACATAACTGCCAGAAGTTCACGTACTACACGGTGTGCATTTTGTATTAAAAAAAGAATGAAAAAGCAAACTGTCAGGACCCCGATTCCAAGTCACATCGATCTAGCCGGTAACACCTCATATCACTTTGCGGCCTCACGCACGGTATCCCACGGGTGTCGTCTTACCATGGCCCGGGACCGTTTGCGCCTTTTGGCTCACGTATATGATAGTGTCGCTAGCATCCATGTGACAGAGAACCCGGGCCGACATGGCTAGTCGTGAACCCAAAGCGGTACAGACCTATGGAGACAGGCATACATGTATCACATCGAGCATGTCGGTCATCAGCGAGTGATTCCGGGCTGTAGCACTGGGCTAACAGGACTCCGGGGGACCCAGGCTACAGCAGGCCAGGCAGGACTCCGGAAATCACCGCGTGACATTTCCCCGAAGGGACAGACATAGGAACGAAGTGAAACACATGCCGGCCAGTCAAGTGTCCTGAACAGTAGTGCTAGGCTAGCAGGACTCCGGTGAACCGGGCTGTAGCGGACTACTATGTCTCGAGGAACACTAGACTACATTTCCCCATAAGAAAGGCTGCCAAGGATAAACAACTAGATTGTCGGATCCCACTCATACCAAGCATTTCAATCATACACACAATATGCCCGATATGAGTACATACAACATGGCATCACAACAAAACTCTACAACTCAAGTACTTTATTTAAAGGCTCCACAGAGCCATACATAACATGTTCATACAGATAGGGGTCACATGACCCGACACTCAAGTCATACAAACATACAAGCACATGCGGAAGCAACTAGTCTGAGTACAGACTCTAGAAAGAAAGAAGGCTTCTCGAAGCCTGACTATCTACATAGGGCCCGCCATGGCCAGGATCACCACCTGGGTGGCTAGTCACTCGTCGACGCCAAGGTCTAAGTAGAACCCATCGGAGTGGGCGGTGTCCTTTGAAACAGTAATTAAGCAAACATGAGTACAAAGGTACCCAGCAAGTCTTACATCAGAACCTACTATACATGCTTATTCTCAAGAAGGTGGTGGGGTTAATGCAGCAAGCCAGCTTTGACTCTTGGCTAAGCTATCCTACGGAACTTCACCAGTAAAATAGTTTTCGCACACGAGTCCAACACTCACCAACACAATACTCCACCGTGGACCCTCCCTCGTCATCCTACGAGAGGGCCATCCTCGATACTCACACTTATCTTGAGTCTTTTAGTAGTGTCCATTAACTTGTCTATGAACTGTATAGGCAACCAAGTAGTCCTTTACCGCGGACGCGGCTATTCAAATAATTTTATACCCTGCAGGGGTGTACTTCTTCATACACGCTTTCACCACTTACCGCCGCTTACATGACATGTACTCGGCAACCTTCAAGCGGAAGCCCAGCGAGGGTGTTGGCCACGGCCTACCTAAACACTTAAGTCTCTAGTCTAGGTTTATCGCCTATCCAGGTTCCATCCGCAGGGAATCCGGCCGAGGTTTCCACATACGGCCCCGAACGATGTGAACAGGGTCCCGAGACGCCAAACGGACGCCTGGCATACCCGGCCACGGTGTATCTACTGCAACATAGCCCACCCCTAGGGTCAGCACTACGCACGGCCGCCAACACATAACCTACAAACACCAGAAACTATTTGCAACTCCTGGACAGAGTACTTGGGTGATTAAGAAGCCGAGAGGGTCAATTAAGGATCCCAATGCATGGTAGTAGCTGAATCTTAAAATCACACATACAGATCTCAGTTCTTAGGGACGGCCTCAATGAAACAACCCACCATGTACTCCTACATGGCCTCTCATCGATACCTTTACCAAAACATGTTCAACACATCCCTCACATTACCGACATAAGCATTTCACTCTAGCCCATCACCCAGATGAACCAGACCTGACACAACTCTAAGCATAGCAGGCATAGCAAGGTAGGAATCACATACATGGCTCAATCAACTCCTACACATGCTAGTGGGTTTCATCTAGTTACTGTGGCAATGACAGGTCATGCAGAGGATAAG